ATAAGCTTTGGAGGTAATGCCACCAGACTTGGTCAATTACCCAGAAAACTCTATTGCAATGTGTGACTATAATAAAACTTGGTGTTGCAATGTGTCATTGAGAATTATTTGGAGGAATTTGGAACATCCTAAAAGGATTAAGACTCCAGGCTCCTCACACATGTGGGTTTGCTGCAATAAGAGTTAAACCAGGGCAGGCAGATGCTATTGTATCCAAAAACATTCAGGCAAGTATTAAACATGTTTTTCTAAAACAGCAAGAGCATCACTGAATGTTCTGGGCTTCTATTTTGTGCTGCACTTTTTCAAGTTTTACTATCTAGATTTTTGTGATGAGGTCGAGGTGGGATGCGTAGCCGCTGTGCCGTGGCGAAGGTGGAGGTCCGGCGAATGAGGTGGCGGGTGTGTGAGCGAGGAGCGGAGCGGCGAGAGAGCGAGCGGCCGAAGCGCGGCGTGAAACATCCACTCTCCGCGGCAAATGCGCTGGTCCAGGTGAGGCGGCAGGTGGGGGAACACGGCGTCTCCTAGGCCCGCCCAGAGCCAGGCGAGTCCCCTTGAAGACGTGCTCTCTCTCCGTAAAGAGCCGCTGTTTTTCCCTCAGCTCCTCTGCCCAACGGGAAAGCGCTGCCTCCTGCCGCTCATAGAAGTCCGAGTCCGCTGGGTTCCAATCGTGTCTTCGTGGCACGGGTCGTGTCATTCTGTCAGGCGTTGTGTGGAGGCGAGGAAGAAGGAACCCAAACGCAGGACTCGCGGGTGGGTGAAGACTGGTGAAGGTTTATTATAAGGAGTGGATGAACAGAACAGAGGTAGGAAATGGCTGGCTGGACGACGGACTGAAGGACTGACTGAAAGACTGAATGGCTGACTGAACGCAGGCGGAAACGACAACATAACATCAATGACACGACAAGGGCTGAAGGGAAGAGAGGGCAGGAAGTGGAACAGGCAGTGAACGTGAACTGAAAATACTGGGTCAACGACCCAGAAACCCTGACACAGACAAGAAAAAACTGTCACTGCTTCATACAAGTGTGTCATACATTTTTTGTTCCATAACCCCATCAACGTTTTTCTATATATTTCAATTATGCATGTGAAGTGGCTCAGGTCTGTTCCTGGCCTTGTTGTCAGTGTAACATACATTTATAAATAAGATCCCAAGCATGGGAACATCTCAGGATCCCCCAAGAAGATGTGGATCATATAATTTGGCTTGAGGACTTCTGGAGTTGCTATGCCTTGTTTTCTGAGGCATATAATGAGAAGCACCAAGTCTACTGTAGAGGACATATTTTTGTTTTGTTTTTTTCTCATTCAGATTTCTTTTGTTTTGCCACATACTTTTTAGTTTTACTTGTCACTTGGTTAGATGTAGGACGAGATCATCATTGGGATTAAAAACATAGTTCATTAACAACACTCAGCATTTCTTTGTGCAACCAGCTCAACAAAAACTAAAAGCCATATTAGAATTAGTATCACAAGTGCAATAACATTTGTTGTGGCCTGGGCTCCTTCATCACAAAAACCACTGACATTGGGTTTTTTGCCCTAAGCATCAATAAGCATCAATTTCTGCTGAAATGTTTAGAGTATTTCGTGTAAACACCATTAAAGGATGGAACCATCTTGCCTTGGATCAAAAGTTTGTTGTTGTTTATGTAACAGTGTGGGTGATTTTCCTTTTGACACCCTTGGTACCAATTGAACATCATGTAAAAACATCACAACCCACCTGATTACTACTGGAATGGAAGGATGATACACCATGATACATGTCACAAGACTCATCATTTCAAGACTGATCATTTCAAACTGGTTCCTTCAAGATGAAACCAGAGGATTCACATCATGGATGTGATTCTGAAGCAACTGTGTGATGCTCTCGTGTCAATATGGATCAAAATCTCTGAGGAATGTTTCCGGCACCTCTGTGAAATTGTACCATGAATAAGGTAGTTATGAAGGCAAAAACAGACTCATTTAAATAGTAGTAAGTCATAAATAAATCCAGTACACCGATAATTAAATGAGTATTAAAATCTATGCACTCACTTCAGTTATTCAGTTCAGTTCCTATAATGACTGCACACAAATTCTTTAGAATGGCTTTAAAATTGCGCAACTTTATTTATGGTATTAATTCACTTTTTCACATCACCAAAGCAATCTTTCTATTCTGTTATAGACTTTGTCACATTCCATACAGACTGTAAAATAAGTCATTTTTGAAGACTGTACAAACCATTTTATATTATACAACTTTTTCAGGGTCAAACTCAAACACTTTTTAAGTATTTTCAAAGTCCATTTTAAAGCTTTTCCCAACACATTACCCAAAAAGAATGCATGTTTCACTTTGCATCACCTCAGTAAGACCATGTGAAAATTAAAACAAATCATCCTATGCACCACACAAAAATACTCCAAAAGGAAAAGGTTGCCTATAGTGTATAAACTCAAAACACACATTTCCCTTAAAAATTAAGATGTACAAATGTGAAAAAAAACAACTTGTTAGAGGTATTCATCTCCTGATGAAAATAAAAAACAACCCCACAAAACAAGAAAACTGCACCAAATACCACAAAACAATACATGGTAAGTTCA